AGTGGCAATGCTAGATGGTGACGCGACTTTGGGTGGTGCGTGAAGGAGCGTGACTGCTCCGATGATGGCGAAACTTCCACCGTGGAGGTCGCATGGTCGAGGTGAGCAAAACCCCTTGCTCGGCGGTCAGAACAGTCACTCCGGCGGCGGCAATGGCGGTGGATGACAACGATGGCAGTGGCGGTGGCGGTGGCTGCGATAGCGACAACACTGGTTACAACGAAGTTAGGGTTGGCGAGCTGCAAAATCACAACACTGCAATACGCTGTGTGCGGCGAGGTGGTGTGAGAAATGGTGACAAGGTAGTCTAGGTTTTTAAAGGACTGGCGACGGCTCTGGCAGCAGCGACGGTGGTGGCAGTGGGCAAAGGTGAACAAATTTCAAATAATCTTGAGCTCTAGATACTATGTTGAATATAGAAAAAATAAGGTTTGAGATTAATCTCCTTTGTGTCTTAACCACACATAGGGCAATGTATTTATAATAAATAGAGATACAACTAAAAAGAGTAACAAAATACAAAAATAGAGTAAATAGAAGATATTATTTGATATTGTGATTAACAATATCTCAACAATATCAACTAATATTTAAACATATCTAACAGATAATAATTCAAAGCGATTTTCATAAGATAAACCCAAGTATATCTCGAAAATTCATCAATGAAAGTAACAAAATACCTAAAACCAAAAGATGAGACACGACTAGGTCCCCAGATATTAGAATGGATGATAGAAAAACTAGAATTACCTTTTGATTGAGACCTTTTAGGAAAGGCAGATCTAACATGTTTGCCTAATTGACATGACTCACAATCTAAGTTCTGGAGACTACTAAGTTCAGGACACATTTTTTTTAACTTGGACAGATGAGGGTGACCAAGCCGATCATGTAACATTTTAGGACTAGGGGCTGCAACCCATGACACTCGTGGAAGAGATCCAAAATGATATAATCCTCCTGCTTCATATCCTTCTCCAATCTGTCTCCCTGAACCACACTCCTGTATAACAAAAATTTGTTATCGAAGGTTACTAAACAATTTAACATTTTGGTTAACTGGCTTAAGGAAATTAAATTAAAGGGACAATTAGGGACAAAAATGACAGATTTTATATTTAAGGAGGGAGACAGGATGACTTGACCGACTCTCTTTGAGGAAGTTTTAGAGCCATTTGCAAGGGTTATAAAATGAGGTTTGTCTTGAAGTGAAATGGTTGAGAACAAGGAGGTATTACCAGAGATGTGGTTAGAAGCACCGGAATCAATTATCCATGAATTGTGACTTTCCATGGATTGAGAGATGCAAGTTGATGATGTACTTGGAGCTTGAGATGACTGTGCCAAGCTATTGGACTTGAGTCGTAGATAATCTTGATACTCGTCCTCAGTGAACCTGGGTTCAGTCGTTTCAGCCTAAGAGAGATTGGCTGTTTTGGATGGAAAACCGTATAAGGAGTAATAGTTTTCCTGGGTGTGACCCATCCTTTTGCAATATGTGCATTGAGGACACCCACGACCACCACGTCCGCCTCGTCTAGTTCCACGTCCTCCTTTTCCTCGAGTGACGACCATAACAAATGGTTCTACTAGAGCAGGAGTTTTCAGAGTTCCATGTGTTGGGACACGAACCATGCATTGTATTAAGGTGTCCATGGAAGGGACCTCATGAGAGGTTAGAAGCTGATCTCTGATATGGTTGAAGTCTGGATGTATAGCACGAAGAATCATCGCCATATATAGTATTTGTCAAGCTTCTTTTTCATTTCATCTGAAGCGTCGACCTCCAAGAACATCCGCAGGTCTTCCATGGCGGTTTGTACTTCATTCATGAAGGAGATCATATCCTGGTTGGTCATTTTCAGAGATGCCAACTTCTTTGCTGAATCATAAAGGTGTTGGATATATATGTTTTGAGTCCTCTTCCAAAAAGAGTGACATGTCTTGAAGGCCCTAAGAGACATTAAAAGTCTTGGCTCCACGGATTGCCACAACAGGGTACACAACTGAAAATCTGCTTGCTTTCATTGTTCGGCTTTTTCTTCAGGCACATGGTTTCCGTCTTTCTCAAGATGGTCATGATGTCCCTGGCCAAGGAACCACATCTCGACGGCAGCTGACCAAGAGAGGTAATTTTGTCTGTTTAGCTTCTCGGAAGTAATGGAAGGACTTCCAAAGAATGAAATAGCGTTTCCAACACTTCCAATTGTCATTTCTGATCAAGAGGACAAAAACAGAAAGCAGATACACAAAAACAACGAAGATTTTTGAAAGCCTTAGGCAGATTTCTGAAAGGGGGACGCCTAGACTTCACCACGACTTAGTTTGGAAGGTAAAAACGAACAGAGGATGTTCGGGCGAAAACTACTGGGGTGGCGTGATGACGATCCGGAGAGTGCACGGCGGCGCGTGGGCTGCACGCACCTGGCTATAGCGGACAAAGATGGTGCGCGTGGCGGCGCGTCACGAGGAGTCTCCCTTCGGCACCTGTAGGGATGGCTGTCGCTTGGAGAGGCGGTCCAGATCTGGTGGTTTCTGGACGAAACTGCGGTGGTTGTTGGCGGCGGCTGACGGCGACGGAAAGATGCTTGACAGTGTTGGATAGTCCAACAGAGCAGAGGATAACTTCAGATAGTGATAAAACTGAGCTTGGATGGCCGCGGACAGCGGTGACTGATGGTGGTGGACAAGACCAGACAGAAACCAGAGCGGGATCGACCCGCTCTGATACCAACTTAAGATTAATAGAGAAAAAATATATCTTTAGGGCTCACGGGACTCTTTTCCCTTTCTTCTATTTATAATGAAAAATTTGATACAATAAGATATAGAAGATAAAGTAAGAGACTGCAACTAGGACCCTAGGTGCAGACCTAGATACAGATGTAGGAAGTTTCCTACACTTAACATCCTATACTTAGGTCTAATGATAATACTAGGAAGTAATGATTCTAACAAGAAGAACTTGACTTGTGGCCTGAGATTTAACAACACAAAGGTGAGGATGAAATTCAAAGTAAACTTTATTATCATGAGCAAATTTACTGACACTAATAAGATTTTTGGTGATGGAGGGAACATGCAACAATTTATGTAAGTAAAGATAATTTGAAAGACAAGAGGAACCAGAACCATGAACAGGCAGACCTTCCCCATTGTTAACATAAATCGTATCAGGCCTAGCAAAGTGAGTGAACTACGAAATATTTTGAGAGTGTCCAGTCACATGAAAAGAAGCCCCGAAATTGGGAATCCAAGAGGAGGAGTTTGGTGCAGGGACTAAATTAGTCACATGAAAAGAAGCCCCGAAATCGGGAATCCAAGATAAGGAGTTTGGTGCAAGGACTAAATTAGCAAGCATAGCACTGGGAAGTTCAGCAGGAGGTCTTGAAGATGGATTAATCCAAGTATTGGACTTTGCTTGAGCAGATTGAGTGATGGAAGAGGACAGCGGCTAATTGGTGGCAAGGTCATAAAACACAAGAGAATCATAGGGTTGAAAAGTGGAGTCACCCCGATAGAAGCATACATTGGTTGTATGACAATATTTAAGGCAAATTTGACATTGAAAATTTGCATAGCGACCACCTCAACGACAGTCACTGATGTCCTTACCACCACGATTGGGACCTACTTTAGAGGGATTGCCAAGACCAAAAGACCTGGGAGATGCAGAATTGGAAGGTGCTTGGGAATAGTGAACTAAAGGAGGAAAAAACTTTTGTTTGTGGCGGGTGGTCCGAGATTAGAGTCATCCAGTTTTTCGGATAGAGAATGTGAAAAAAATGGGTTAGGGGATGGGTGGGAAATAGGATTAGCCATCATATGGATCAGTAACAAAGCTTTGATACCATATTAGAGTTTGAGGAGAGAACAAAAGCACACAAAAATAATATAAGAACTTGTGTATTCAATACTTTTCAATATAGAAAACAAAAACTGTATTAAAAGACCTTGTAAGATAAATTATACTAGACCCAAAATATAAAGACTGAAATAAGCAACCGTCACAAACATAACCGCCTAATAACTAAGAAACAATTACAATCATAATCACCTAATAATTGTAAGATAATTGAAGCAAAAACTGCAACAACACTTATACCAAACTAATATGAATATAATAAATTCTAAGACTTCATAATGATTTGGTGAAAATATCTAACAATTAGTCATTGGAATTCATAAATTGAGTGATAATGTCTCCATATACAATTTTCTCATGGATGAAGTGACAATCTATCTCATTATATTTGGTTCTTACATGAAAGGATTTGAGGTAATATGAAAGGTAGCTTGGTTGTCATATATGAGAGTCATTTGTGTGACCTCTACAAATCTTGGCGCTTTCAGCAACTATTTGAAGTCATAGCTCTAGACTCACATTTGCACTAGATCTTGTCACTATATTTTTGTTTTAACTTTTCTTGGAGATCAAATTTTCACCACTGAAGAGATAATATCCAAAGGTGGATCTAACTTTTGAGCACCTTTGCTCTTGAGAAACAGCTGATCTTCAACATGACCCCACATTAGACCTGCCCTTCTCCTATGACCAATATGCTGCCTGACTCGCAGTGAGCAGCCATTACTAACTTTCTCTGCTCTGACAGCCAACTCGCTAACTTGTTCACTAAGTCTTCCAAGAGGTCTTCTCTTGATGACATTTTCATAAGTTTGACTCAAGATAAATGTGCTCCTAACATCTTAACAAATATTTTTTATTATTAATTATAGAATTGTTCCTTATTAATATGTCTCTTCTTCGTTACAAAGAAGAATCTCCATGAGTGTACATAACTTAGAATTAATAATAACTATAATTCATGTTCTATAATGGTTATACTATAATTTCTGCACACTTAGCTTGCTTACGAAAAAAAATTTTCTGTCCTGATTAGAAGTTTGATCTGTGCTTTATCCTTCTATGATGGAAAATTTGGAATGTGTCCTAATGTCATATAATTTCTTCCACGGATCAGGGAAGGATCGATGTAATGGAGTTAATTGTGGAGTGTATGCACCGACAGAAAGTTTCCCCTGATCCAAGAACATGCGGCTATGTCTTCTCTGCATATGTAAATTCTGGTTTTCACAATACAGCAATTGAAGCATTTCAGGTTTTAAGCTTGCGTATGATGTCTGAAGATGGGAACATACTTGGTGTAAAGAAAAATTTTGTGAATGAATTCATCCTATCTGAAGATTTGGCTGCTGAGTCACGGATACTTAAATTATTTGAAGATTCTGAAGATGAACTTGCAGTTGGGTTGTTGAATTTAAGATGGTGTGCCATAGCTGGATTCCCAATATGCGAATCAGCAGATCAAAGCCTGTGGGCTAGAAGACTGGAAGGAAAACAATTGTGAGTCCAGGTGTTGTTATGAAGACACCCAGTTAGAGACAGTTTTAATGGAGACACAATTGTCTTTGAAGCCTCCATAAAAGGGTTGGCGATTTAGTAGTTTAGAGATGCACGCAGAGGCTGTATCATACATATCCGGTGTCAACCGTGGCCATCGTCATTGCTTCAGCTCTGCACAGGTATTAAATTTTTTAATCATAATTTAGGATACAAGTTCTGATCATTTTGGAACTTACTCAACTTTTCTGAGTTGCACCAAATTTAAATCTTTTTAAAGTTTGGTGAACAAAAATATTTTTTAACACAGATAAATTTTGTTAAACTATGAATTTTTTCGTGATAAATGAAAATTAGTCAGAATCGTGGGTTGTGAAATAAGATTTGGACTTTATAAACTAAACATGACATGAATTTTAAACTCTCTTCTCGCTGATTGCTCTGGTATATGAAAATAGTAAAATGCAAAGGGTTAGAGTAACTTAACGAACTTCCTCCCTTCCACAAGTCAACGTGCAAATGACAAGTGCACGCATTTGTTGTTTAATGTTTTTGCATATTTTACATATTTCTTGCAGAATATATATATATATATATATATATATATATATATATATATATATATATATATACTCGGCCCAAAAAAAGTAATGCATCTAAGATTTGGAGATAGCTGTGAATTAAAACCTTCCGATGGCGTAACATCTTTTAAAACTGAGATCGATGTGATATTGATCTGTTACAAATTTTTCGTATTATTTATGAGAACTTCTTTAATGTGGATCTCAAATGTAGAATTATACTTACAATAAGTGAAAATTGTATATATAAAAAATATTAAACAATCTTCACGTTTTAATTAATTTTACATATGATGTGCTGTTAAAATAATATTTTTTATTCAATAACTTTTCTAGATAATTTTCTTTAAAAGGAGGGAAATTGTCGAGGAATAGGAGTGGAAATAATGATATTAGGGTGCAATCAGTGTCTGGAAAAACATTATGATGAATGCAGAGATGAAGAAAAGCAAGTTTAGCAACATTATCCAGTTATCACCGACCCAACTCGCCAATAGTGCGTAGATATATCATATAAACGTCGTTTTACTTTTCTGTTCCGGTCATGGTCGCATAATGATTAGTATTCATAGAAAGTTAGAGAAAATAAACGGAATTATTCCCAGATTTTGTAGCTAGCAATATCTAAAAGATAGACATGAGGAGACAACTTTCCCATAGGGATTGGACATTTAGAAAGTGCTTAACTTTTAGATGGTAAATATTTAATATTTAAGTTACATCATCAATGTTTTACACCCACCATTTTCACGAGTTCCAAACAACAAGCTTTTTTATGCATATATTACCCAATTAATGTTTCATCAAATAAGATGCAAACCAAAAAATAAGAAAAATAAATCAATAAGGTTGTGGGTGACTTTGCTCGGGGCTTGATACTGAATAAAGGCAAGATCATGAACAATCAGTAAATACAATTTGAAACAATCAAGTTTTAAAACTCTAAAAACTTATTATACATGAAAACTATTTTACTAATGATTAACAAATATGTCATAATAATTTTAAATATTTGTTAAAGTAAGAAATATACAAAATTAAAATACTTACGTTAACTTATTAATGTATTAAAGTTAACTCAATGGGTAAAAGTTTGTATAAGTTGAAGCTCGATATTGTTTCTTGTATTAAAAAAAATACTAATTAAAAGAATTAATTAATACGAAATCTTTGAAATATTTGATTCAAAATTTAGTAACAGGAATTATAAAAATAATTAATATATGTATTGGAATATGTTTTAGTCAAAAGTTTTAAATATTTAAAGTTAAAAAGATTTACTATTTAGTGTTGTGAATTATTGGTGTTGAAGCCTATTTAGAGAGTTATTTTAAATCAATCTTCTTTTTTAGATAATGGGCCCTGACACCCAAGATAAACTCCAATGGTGCAACTTGAACATTAATATATGAACATTAATATATATACCTTGGAGTGTCTTGTTTATTATTGCACCTAGAAAAACTTGTTTGACACATAATAGCATAGTGAAGTGATTCAAGCCGATGTATCAACTCGGTTAACCAACCAACTCAATGTATAACATTGTTTTGAAAATTGAACTCAATTGGCCTGTTCAATCTAATTTAATCGATTAGAAATGAGTTTATTATTTTCAGATAATTAGATTTTAATTAAATTGGGATAAAATCAAGATAAAATCAGTAAAATCGAAGAACCAATAGGTTTTTGGGGTTTAAAAAAATAAGATTAATTTTTTTAATATAATTATTTTATAAAAATATAATATATTTTAGTTTTTTTATCTCATATTATTTACGATAACTTTAAATAATAATAGTTTTATTATATTTTTATCTTATTTTAATAATTAATCATGTTACACACTAATATATTTTATATTTATAATTTTCATTATAACATGACAATAATTTTTATTATTTTTTTTTAATATTAGTACTAATAAATTTATTATATATTGATTATATTATAAAAATATTATTTTATTAAATTCGGTTGAATTTTGATTGAATCTTTAAACTCTAGATTTATGTCTTCAATAATTTTCAGTTATCAATTTGATTTTAAAAACATTGATATTTAGCCCATGTACAAGATTTCAAAAATAGATCAAGAGTATATATCCCTCGATCTCATACTTAAAAAGCTGAAAAGACAAATACATTCAATGCAAAAGTTCTAAAGCTGCTTGATGACTACAATGATGAAGGCATGACAAGGGGAGTCTTCTAGTTCTATCATATCTTTATTTTCCATTAGCTTAATTTGAATTCTCTAAGTTGAATTGAGTAGAGTTAATTTTAGTTAACTTGTTGACCATGACTTGAGTTGACTTTTTTACTAGAGTTGACTTGACCTAAGTCAACATTGCTAATCTAGTTTCATTTGTGTGTCACGTAGGTTAAGCATGGATTAAAAGGATGATTAAGACTCTCCACATGGCAAGCTAGGATTGGACCACATATATATGAGGTGGAAAACATAAAGCATAAAACAAAAGCATAAAGCAAAAGCATAAAGAGAAAGGTGCTTTATGATGGTGAATGAGACAAATGTGGTCCCCTCCTTAGTCTTAGCCAAGAATCACCATAGGAAGTCCAACATTCCATTTGTCTTTTCCTTGCTTTCATGTTAGGTTTGTAGAAGATACTTTTTAGGATTTGCAAATGTACTCTTTTAGAACTTTTGTTATTTGCTAAGAAGCCCCCAAGACTATCTATTTAAGGGATGTTTCTTCTCCTTTGTAGGGGTTGAACATTTGAAATCAAAATACTCTTTGTCCAACCATATTTCCGTGAGCATCTTCTCCCTAGGGTGGAGACTCCATGACCTTATCTTGCTCCTAAGCAAGTGGCGGTTTCACCACTTATTTCTTGACTTGGTGTGCATACTATAACCCTTGTCCAAAGAGTGGTGTGTTTCAACACCATCACTATCCTCTATATCTTACATTTTTTTGTTTTTTTCTTCTATTTTTACTCCTTATTTATATGTTGTTTTGCTAATCAATATTAATTTCATTCACTCCTCTCTTGAGCCATTGGAAATGTACCTTCACATCTAGATAACTTGTTATCTTAATGTCTAGTAGGAATTTTTCCTAGGTTTTCATAAGTAATTCAACACCCTATTTCAAAGAACTAAAGTGAACCTACATCAGTTGATATCTAGATTCATGGTTATCTTGAATATTGTGTTTTTCTTGTGCTAACTTTTGTTGTCTTGTGTTGTTACTCTTAGTGGACTCTTGGCCTTGGTTTGTTCAATCTTGGTGTTGCACATTTTTCCACTTCACTTCAAGGTTTAAGTATTTAGAACTCCATCTCCATATATTGATGATCTTGTGAAGTTGTGAACATGATTTTTGTTGGTTTTTTTTTTTGCTTGGAAAACTGAGAGCTACTTGTAGTGTTACCATGTTAAAATTTTGTCTCTCATGTTGAAAGAGTCTTTAAATGTGTACAGTGGGAATTTTCCCTCGGTTTTCATAAGTAATCAAACACCCTATTTCAAAGAAATAAAGTGAACCTACATCAGTTGGTATCTAAAGTCATGGTTATCTTGAATATGGTGTTTTTCTTATGCTAACTTTTGTTGTCTTGTGTTGTTACTCTTGGTGGACTCTCAGCCTTGGTTTGTTCAAACTTGGTGCTACACATTTTTCCACTTCACTTCAAGGTTTAAGTATCTAAAACTCCATCTCCATATATTGATGATCTTGTGAAGTTGTGAACATGATTTTTGTTGTTTTTTTTTTCTTGGAAAACTGAGATCTACTTGTAGTGTTACCATGTTAAAATTTTGTCTCTCATGTTGAAAGAGTCTTTAAATGTGTTTATCCTTGATTTTGAGTCATATGTCATATTTTAACTAGTGATTTTCTTGTTCTTGTTGTTCTAAAATATTTGAATCTTGCATGTTTACATGACTTATTGAGTGTATGTGCTTTGGAATTGATTTGTAACCAAAACTCAAGGAACTAAGTGTTCAAGACACCTTGAAACCCTTTTCTATCACCTTGGGAAACTTGTTTGCAAAAGAGAAAAAAAAAATTTCCCCAAAATTCTAGCTAAAAACCGAGACCAAATTTGGAGCTTGGGGAAGTGAAATTGCATTTTTTTTCTAAGGTGTTATGCTCTCAAATTGAAAACTTGAAGGTGGTGATATTGGAAAATTAGTTCCATAAAAACTATGTGGTTCTTGTCTTCCTTGGCATGTGCATGATTTAAGTTGTTCAAAGGCATGTTCAAATATTTTTTCATTGAGTCTTTTAAAGTGTTTTTCTTTTGTTAGTCTTGCTAAAGTTTTGTCTCAAAAATTTTCCCTCTTAGAGTTTTGCTTTCTTGTTTTTGTATTTTTCTTGCTTGTCTTAGGATCCTTGTTTTGTCCTTACTAGTTTTCTTTTCTTTGGTCTTCTAGTTGGTGAAAACCGTGATCTAAGTTGCTTGGTGAGAAAAGGTTTTGAAAAATTTTGAGTGATTTCCACCCTTTGAGAAGTGAGAGTGATAGCCTAACCTTGTGTTGTTGGGAGTGTGCATCCAAACACTTGGGAAATTGCATTGTGGGGTGGGGATTGCCTCGGGTATTTTTAACTCATACTTGTGCTAACTTTTGTGTTTGTTTTCGGTTTGAGTAATATGGACCTAGGTGGTGAAAATTTGTCTCCTATCTTTGAAGAAATAAAGGAAGAAGAGTCACATGAAGCCTATTCACCTCCCACCATCACTCCTCTTGCACAACAAGGAGACCTTAGTTTGATTCAACTTGTGCAACAACTAGAAGAGAGTAGACGGGAGACCATTGCACAACTAAAGGAAGATAAAAGACAAAGTGAGATTATGCTTAGAGAACACATCCAAAGGCTTAAACTAAGGGAGGAAGATAGGAGGAGGAAGAGGTCATCTTCAAGAGACACTTATGAGGATTATGAAGGAAGGAGGAGGCATCATTCCTCTCCAAGGAGACAACCACCACCAATCAAGATTCCAAAGTTTAAAGGAGAAGAAGATCCCAACATCTACTTGGAGAGGGAGCAAAAAGTGGACCAATTTTTTACCATTCATGTAATTAGGGAACAAGAGCAAGTAGAATTCATAGTCCTAGAATTTGAGGATTATGCCATGATTTGGTGACATAAAAAATGTATGGACATTATAAACCAAGAGTCACCCGCGACTTCTTGGATGGACTTGAAAATTTTAATGCACGAACAATTTGTTCCTTCCTACTATACGAGGGACACCCTTTTGAAGCTCAAAAGGCTTCAACAAGGAACGATGAGTGTGAGTGAGTATGCAAAGATAATGGAGTCCTTTCTTCTTAAAGTGAGACTCCAAAATGAAAGTGAGGAAGAAAATGTATCTAGATTTGTGAGTAACTTGAGAAGGGAAATTCAAAATGTGGTAGAGTTATATGAGCACTTCCAATTTCACAAAGTTTTACACTTGGCCTTAAAAGTTGAAAACCAATTGAAAAAGAAAAATGAGGTCAAGAGAAGTGCAACTTACAATGACTACTACTCTAATAGCTGAAAGGGAAAGAAAGAAAGTTTGAAAAATCACCTTCCAAAACCTCTCAAGAAACTCCTAGGGTGAATTCGACTAAGGCTCCCAAAGACCTTCCTAACTCTTCTCAAGGTTCAAGAACAAGTCGCATCAAATGCTTTAAATGCTTAGGTTATGGTCACATAGCCTCCAATTGTCCAACAAAAAGAACTATGGTCTTGAACTCAAAAGGAGAAGTAGAAAGTGAGCATTCTTCTCCCTCATCCCCCAAGAGTTCTTTTAATTCTTCTTCTTCAAGTGAAGATGAAATCAAACCTCATGAAGGAGAAGGTTTGTTGGTGATAAGGCACATGCTAGGCAAAAAACCTAAACATTTGGAAAACTCTCAAAGAGAAAATATTTTCCACTCAAGGTGCCTAATCAATGACAAGCTTTGCTCCCTCATCATTGATGGAGGTAGTTGTGTGAATGTGGCTAGCAAGAGGGTTGTGGACAAGCTTGGCTTGAAACCCACCCCCCATACCAAGCCCTATAAACTCTCATGGTTAAGTGAAGAAGGAAAAATTAAAGTGGACAAGCAAGTCCTCATAAACCTCTCAATAGGAAAATACAAGGATGAGGTATTGTGTGATGTTGTGCTTATGGATGCTACACATATTTTACTTGGAAGGATATGAAAATTTGATAAAAAAACTTTTCATGATGGTCATACCAACAAATATTCTTTTGAATACCAAGGTAAAAAGATCACACTTTTACCTTTGTCCCCTCAAGAGGTTAATGAGGACCAACTTCGCATGATTAAGAAAAAGAAGGAGGAAGTGGCTCAAAAGAAGCAAGAGACCAAGAAGAGCATGATACTCTCCCACAAGAGAGTGAAAAAGGTAATGCTTGCTCAAAAACAAGTTTTGTTAGCTTACCCCACTAGCCCTTTCCCATCCTTCCAAGAAACCACCTCTTCTTGTCCTCAAGATTTGGCCCAAGTTTTAAAGGATTTTAAAAATGTTTTTCAAGATCCCCCAAAGGGACTTTCACCCTTAAGGGGAATAGAACACCAAATTGATTTGGTACAAGGTGTTTCTTTACCAAATAGGCTAATCTATAGGATAAGTCCTGAGGAGGCTAAGGAAATCCAAAAACAAGTTGAAGAGTTGTTAGAAAAAGGTTGGGTACAACATAGCATGAGCCCTTCTATAATGCCCGTGATACTTGTCCCAAAAAAGATGGTTCATGGATAATGTGCATTGATTGTAAAGCTATCAACAACATCACCATTAAGTATATGCATCACATTCCTAGGTTAGATGACTTATTAGATGAATTGCATGGTACCACCATATTTTCCAAAATAGACTTGAAAAGTGGATATAATCAAATAAGGATCAAAGAAGGTGATGAATGAAAAACCTCTTTCAAGCCTAAGTTTGGATTGTATAAGTGGTTGGTTATGCCTTTTGGCTTGACCAATGCACCTAGCACCTTCATGAGAATCATGTATCATGTTCTTAGAGACTTTATTGGGAAATTTGTAGTGGTCTACTTTGATGATATTCTCATTTATAGTATGACCAAAGAGCAACATGCATATCATTTGAGGAGTGTGCCAGAGACTTTAAGGAAGGAGTCCTTGTATGCTAATATAGAAAAATGCATTTTTGGCATGGATCATGTGATCTTCCTAGGGTTCAAAATAAACAAAAATGGGGTCCATGTGGACCAAGAAAAAGTGGTGGCCATCAAGGATTGGCTAAGACCAAAGAATGTGAGTGAAGTGAGATCTTGTCATGGGTTGACTAGTTTTTATAGAAGATTTGTGCCAAACTTTAGCACTATAGCCTCCCCTTTGAATGAATTGGTTCAAAAAGGTGTGGGCTTCAAATGGGGCAAGGATTAGGACAAAGCTTTTGAAACTCTTAAGGAAAAATTGATCAATGCCCTACTTCTAGCCCTCCCTAACTTCTCCAAGACCTTTGAAGTAGAGTGTGATGCATCCAATGTAGGCATAGGGGTCGTACTTCTTCAAGAAGGGCACTCCATTACCTATTTTAGTGAGAAATTAAAAGGGAGTCACATCAATTACTCCACCTATAACAAAGAACTTTATGTTCTTGTGAGAACTTTGCAAACTTGGCAACACAATCTTCTTTCAAAGGAATTTGTGATTCACAGTGATCATGAGTCCCTAAAGTTTTGGAAAAGGCAAAGCAAGTTGAACAAGAGACATGCAAGGTGGGTTGAATACATAAAACAATTCCCATATGTGATCAAACATAAACAATAAAAGATTAATGTGGTGGCGGATGCCCTTTCAAGGCGCCATTCACTCCTAACCTTTTTAGAAACCAAATTTTTGAGCTTTGATCACATTAAGAAATTGTATGCTAGTGATGATGATTTCTTCCCCATTGTTAGTGAATGCCACCTAGGGACTTACAAAGACTTCTACCTCCTCAATCAATACCTTTACAAAGGTAAGAGGCTTTGTATACCCAATGATTCCTTAAGAGCTTCACTCATTAAGGAGTCACATGAGGGAGGATTAATGGGACATTTTTTGGGGTCAACAAAACTTTGGAAGTCTTAAAAGAACATTTCTATTGGCCCCACATGAGAAAACATGTAGACAAACATTGTAGAAGTTGCATAACATGCATGAAGGCAAAGTCCAAGGTCTAATCTCATGGGCTCTATACCCCTTTGCCCATCCCTTCTAAACCTTGGGTGGATATTTTAATGGATTTTGTGCTAGGGCTACCAAGGACAAAGAAGGGTAGGGATTCCATCTTGTGGTTGTAGATAGATTTTCAAATATGGTCCATTTCATTCCATGCCACAAGGTTGATGATGCTACTTACATTGAAAATCTCTTCTTTAAGGAAGTTGTGAGACTACATGGCCTACCTAGGACCATTGTGAGTGATAGGGACACAAAGTTCTTGAGTCATTTTTGGAGGACACTTAGGGGGAAGCTTGGAACAAAACTCCTATTTTCAACAACTTGTCACCCCCAAAGTGATGGCCAAACCGAGGTGGTTAATAGAACCTTGGGTCAAATGTTGAGGTGCATGATAGGCCAAACTACTAGAGAGTGGGAGGAACTTCTCCCTCACATATAGTTTCCATACAATAGGGTTGTGCATTCTACTACCTCCCACTCCCCCTTTGAGGTTGTGTATGGATTCAATCCTCTCACTCCCATGGATCTTCTTGCCCTCCCCACCCATGAGGCATGGACTTGCCAAGATGGAGCCACTAAGGCTAACATGATTAGAGAGTTACATGAGCAAGTCAAAAGGAAAATTGAGAAAAGGGTGAGCAAACATCAAGAGAGTGCTAACAAGGGAAGGAAGGAAATTATCTTCAAAGAAGGGGATTAGGTTTGGCTTCATTTGAGGAAGGAAAGGTTCCCTACTCAAAGAAAGTCTAAACTTACCCCAAGAGGAGATGATCCCTTCCAAATCATTAGGAAGATCAACAACAATACATATGAATTAGACTTACCATCCACATATAACATACGTAACTCATTTAATGTTTGTGATATTTCTCCTTTTGATGTAGGGTATAACAATTCATGGTTGAATTCTATCCAAGAAGGGGAGGATGATGAAGGCATGACAAGGGGGGAGTCTTCTAGTTCTACCCTATCTTTATTTTCCATTAGCTTAATTTGAATTTCCTAAGTTGAATTGAGTAGAGTCAATTTTAGTTGACTTGTTGACCTTGACTTGAGTTGACTTGACCCAAGTCAACATTGTTAAGCTAGTTTCATTTGTGTGTCTTGTAGGTTAAGCATGAATTAAGAGGATGATTAAGACTCTCCACATGACAAGCTAGGATTGGACCATATGTGCATGAGGTGGAAAGCATAAAGCATAAAGCAAAAACATAAAGAGAAATGTGCTTTATGGTGGTGAATGAGACAAATGTGGTCTCCTTCTTAGTCTTAGTCAAGAATCACCATAGAAAGTCCAACATTCCATTTGTCTTTTCCTTGCTTTCATGTTAGGTTTGTAGAAGATACTTTTTAGGATTTGCAAATGTACCCTTTTAGAACTTTTGTTATTTGCTAAAAAACCCCCAAGATTATCTATTTAAGGGATGTTTCTTCTCCTTTGTAGGGGTTGAACATTTGAAATCAAAATACTCCTTTTTCCAACCATATTTCCGTGAGCATCTTCTCCCTAGGGTGGAGACTCCATGACCTTATCTTGCTCCTAAGCAAGTAGTGATTTCATCACTTATCTCTTGACTTGGTGTGCCTACTATGGCCCTTGTCCAAAGAGTGGCGTGTTTCCTCACCATCACCATCTTCTATATCTTACATTTTGTTCTTCTTTTCTTCTATTTTTACTCTTTGTTCATGTGTTATTTTGCTAATCAATATTAATTTCATTCACTCCTCTCTTGAGCTGTTGAAAATGCACCTTCACATCTAAATAGTTTGCTATCTTATTATCCAGTGATAATTTTTCCTAAGTTTGCTTTAGTAATTTAACACCCTATTTCAAAGAACTAATACATCAATAAGCCTTCTCTTAGTTAATGACCAAAGCTCCAAGATACTTGACAATACATAA